TAAATATATTTGTAAGATTTAGTTCATCCATTCCCACCTTTCTAAGTTTATTCTTCATTGTTTCTCATTCATTAGTATACTTTTGACAAACACAAATAACATGTTCTACTGATTCCTCTATTCCACAGTGCTCACATAATCCTGTTGGATGTTTATTTATTATTTTCAAGGTTTTATTCAGCATAGTATGTCCAACCCTTAATCTTGTTAGAACATTTTCCTCTTTGGTGCTTCTTTTAGTTATCCTCAGTACTCCTACTTCTTGTTGTATTCATAAAGTTGACGTCCTGTATTTCCTGTATCCCATTTATGTTGCCACTCCTTAGTGGTATATGCTTTAATTACCGCTTTTGCTTTATATTTACTAAGTGAGATATTCATGATCTCCTAATTTTCCAAAGCCTGTTTTGCTAATCCATCAAACTTTTCATTACCTTTTATCCCCCTATGAGCTGGTATCCACATAAATATTATCATGATGTTCATATTCTTAAATCTATACAGATTTTCATATATCTGTCTACTGTGAGATGTGAATGATTGCAATGACTTTAATGCCAAACATGAATCTGTACAAAGTATAACCTTTTTGATTTGAGTCTCTTCTATCCACTGTAGTGCTGTTACTATTGCCATCATCTCTACTGTGTATACTGATAAATGATCTGATGTATGTGAAGAGACTTTCAACCAGCATAACAAAAAATGTTTCTGAAGACAATCACCTATTGCACCTTTAACAGAAATGTTTAAGGATGGAATACTGAAAGCAAAACCTGTTCTCCCTGTATTGGGATCTTTAGATCCATCAGTATATACTGGAGCAAATGCTTGATATACAGTTTGTAGTCTATCTTCAACAACAGCTACAATGTTTTCAGATTCTTTCATTAACTATAGTATATAAAAATCTATGGATACTGCAGGAAACATCCAAGGTGGAGTTATTTAATGGTACTGTGGGAATGTATCTTTTCTGACTTAAAATAATTTCTCTAGCTTCTTTGTCACTATTCCATGCAAAACACTTCTGTTTAGACCTTTCCTTTTCCCACCACAGAAGGAGTACCTTTACTGCTGAATGGCGGTCTTCTGAATGACCTTGAATATTTATCCAGTAGTTCATCATTAACTGTTTTCGTCTGATTTGTAATGACATTTCACCCACTTCAACCTGAAGAGCAGATACGGGAGTCGTTTTAAAAGCACCACAACAAAGTCTCAAAGTTGGAGATTGTATCACATCCAGCTTCTTCAAGTTTTTGCTGCTGAGCCATAAACAATACTTCCATAATCTAACACTGATCTAATCAGTGCTATATAAATAGCCTACTATGCAGCTCTTCTCGCTCCCCGCTCTGATCCTCTTAGACATCTCATCACATTTAAAATCTTTTTACATTAAGTGTCAAACTGTCAATCTTTTGAATATGTTCATTCCATGTTAATTTTGCATCAAACCACACACACCCAGAAACGTAAAAACTTTGACTTGTTCAATAGTTTGTCCATACATCTTTATCTCTGTGTCGATGCCTCTTTTTGAGTGAACAGTATTGTTAGGCTGAACACATTTACATGCCTATATTCAGTTATAGTCATAGCGCCAACTGCTGGCAACAGGAAGTGACATGTTTAACACTGTTATGGACTCCTAGCAACATATTAAAAAGCGTCAGCAAGTGTTAAATAGGCTAGTAACATGCTAGCAACACTTAGCTAAGTGCTAAAGTATATGCAATGAAACAGAAAGTTGCTGTAACTCAGGCATGCTGTGCCCAATCTGCCCCAAACTTAACATGTTTAATAAAAGTCCTGGTCTGAAGACATGCCCATATTCGGTTATAGTCATAGCGCCACCTACTGGCAACAGGAAGTAACATGTTTAACACTGTTATGGACTAAGCAACACATTAAAATAAGCCATTGAGTGCTAAACATGCTAGAAACATACTCCAACGTAATAGCAACACTTACTAAGTGCTAAAGCATGCTAGTATTACCATGAAACAGGAAGTTGTTGTAACTCATGCAAGCAATGTCAAATCTGCCCCGAACTTCACATGTTTGATAAGAGTCCTGGCCTGAATGCATCTTAAGACCAATGTTCAGTTATAATCATAGCACCAACTGCTGGCTGCAGGAAATTACTTGTTTTACACTAATTTAAACATCTAATATCAGATATGCCCCGAACTTCACATGTTTGATAAGAGTCCTGGCCTGAACACGTCGACCAATGTTCAGTTATAATCATAGCGCCAGGGGCGGTTCTAGGGGGTGGCCAGTGCCCCCCTGTCAACAAGCTTGGCCCCCCCTTTGCCCCCCCAAATTTGGAACCAATCACATACGATTCTGTTGAGTTTATGAATGCAAGGACCAATCAGAGGCGTTCAGATGAGTCATTGCTGAAACACGCTGTTTCGTCACCGCGCGCGCTGGCTAACTGAATTCTCTGGCCAATTCTCTCATCAGAAACAACAAAGTGATGATGTACGAATGTAAGTAAGATATTAATTTCACAGTGTAAACTGCTTTAGAGATTATTATGGGAGTTTCTGAGATTGCTTGAACTCGCTGGACTGAAGTGAAAATGTTCTTTGATAATGTAAAGGTTCTTTGCTCTCTTTTTGTATAAATTAATTAATTATAGGCTAATTAGTAACTTACAATGTTTTTATTAAATTGACATTAAATACAAAGTCAGTCATATTAAAAATATTTTATGTCACCCATATCTGGTACTTAAGTAAAAAGACGAATTT